TTGTAAATAATATAAACAAATTTAAACGATAAAATTATTGATTTCTCAATCAAAAACAAGTGCTAGTTCCTTATAATTTAATTCAATTTCACAGCAGCTGCACATACTCTGTGCTTGACGAGTATACTCGTCATGCGATTTCTTATCTAAATTAACACTTTTTTGAAAACTAAAATATGTTTGTAAATTTGAGACATTTTAGAATATTTTGAGATTATTTGACTAGAGTAGTTCTTTTAAGATCATTTTTCTAAATAACTTCTTTTTAATAAGAAAATTATAAGTGTTTATGTTTTGTAAATAATATAAACAAATATAAACAATAAAATTATTGATTTCTCAATCAAAAACAAGTGCTAGTTCCTTATAATTTAATTCAATTTCACAGCAGCTGCACATACTCTGTGCTTGACGAGTATGCTCGTCATCGCGTCGTTCTAGCGACACAACGTAGATACACACTGTTAACGAAAAAAATTCTGACTTCATTGTTAATCAGTATTCGTAGGTTGATATTTGTTGATTTTACGTTACACAAATTTTTTTCTAGTCATGATAAAAATTCGGCCTATAGAGGGTTAAATATTCAAAATTAACATTCACTTTAAATATTCCACATAATCCTTAAATATATTTTACAATGTCATTTACCCCTCCGGCGTTTGCGATACGTTTGACAACTTTCCTAATTACCGGAGATCAGGTCGACGTAACAATTATCTCGTAAAACGGTTGGCAAGGCTTTGGCCAGGCGAATTCCCTATCCACGGATAGGTTTGTGATTCGCGATCGGGTGTTGATTCAGTGCTCTCGGTACGTCGCACGCGTGCCTGATGTAGACGCACGCAAAGCTCCCGCAGCCCGAACTTCAGCACGCGCCACGATTATGCGATTACGCGATTACGCGTGTCGGCCTCCTGTATCGCAAAAACGATCCAGAAGAGGAGGGGGGGCGACGAAGAAGAGGCCCATACGGATGATACCGTGCCCATGCGATGACGCGGAAGATTCTTTCGTCGCCCCCTAAACGCACCCCCTGACCCCTTTGTCTAGTACCATTCTGTTCTTATATGTCTGATGGTTGAGCCATCCTAAACATTGTATATTTACAATACTAATATCTGGACCCCAGAGCCAGAATGTATTAAGTCACACTTTTCAAACTTTAAAGGAGAGCAAATCAAAGGTGCGGAAACCTTGTAATTTTGGAACCGTTCGGTAAAAATTGAGGGAGAAATAATCGTTACTTTCGAACTATTGAATCGATTTAAGACAAGTCTCTATATGGAGACATAGTGAACTTTGTATTAATTCCTCTATCTGATGGACTTTTGAGTGTTTTAAGAACATCAACTTAATATAATTTTCAGACTATTATGTACGTGTATTAAAAATTAGACGACTTAGAATGAAATAATTTTTACCATCGGAAGCAGTGAAATATTTGATATAGGAATCATGTGAAATGTCATTTTTTTTAAAGTGGACTTAATACACTCTGGCTCTGAGGTCCAGATATACGATACTTAGATTTTACAGTAGGGGCATCCCACGTGAATCGGACATTTTTTGGAATAACATTTCGGATTTTGTTGACATTTGGATATATTGTAGTCTAGTGATATATAAATGTATCTGGAAGGATTTTTGAAAATTTTTTAAATTGCTGATTCTACAGTTGCTTGAAATATAGTGTTAACCATTTTTCAATAAATTATAATTGTTTGAACTTCAATTAATTTTCAATGTGATCAATTTTAAAGTCTCCATGTTTTTGAACATTTGTCCATAAAGATGACAAATAGGACTATATTGTTTAATTTTTCAATAGTGTCTCGCTATTGTAAAATTGCATTTCTTTTAAGCAATTGCAAAGTAAATGGTTCAAGAATACTTTTTTTTAACTGAAATAATTTTTGTCTCCACAATAGGTACCCACAAAGCTCATTTTGATCGGTTTGTTAGTTCAACAGTTATGATTGATTGAAAAAAGATTGACACTATATTTCAAACAGCTGTAGAATAAATAGTTTTAAAAATTTCCAAAAATCCGTCGAAATACGTTTACACATTACTAAAGACTACAACATATTCAAGTGCCGAGAAAATCCGAAATGTTACTCCAAAAAGTGTCCGATTTCGCATGGAATGCCCCAGAATCGTGATTGCATTTTTTTATTATTATATGAAGGTGGTTTCCACGTTTGGTATCATATCTAGCTGGGGCTTCATATATTCACGAAATTTATTTTTATCATCATTTTAACTATATCATCGCCTGAGCCCTTAACCATTCTAACTCTATTTTTCCAGAAAATTTAATTAAACAATCTACGTTGGTCTGAAGAATACAAACTTATCATAATATAAAGAAAATTCAAACAGAATATTATTCTTCTAAGTCCTAACCCTGAAACTTTGAAAGTTCTCTTCTCTTAATTGTCGTATCTTCAAGTACTAACAACATTTAAAAATTTAGGTTTCATAAGATGAAATTTTATCAAATTTTGCAACAAATAGCTATTCAGTACATGATGTTATAGTGTGTTTATTTCACTACTTTCCTGGGTCGATAATATTAATTAATAATATTAAACATCGTAAACTTTAAACTCAGTTTTCTCAGATTAAAAACTAGCGAAGACAAGACACTTAAGAACTTGACAATATACATATATTCCAATAGTAAAAATGTTGGCTGTCCAACGCGTTAATATCTTTCCATGGCAGAGAAATGGGTGATTTGACGTTGTAAATGGTAACGTGTATAAAGTCACACGGGATATATCACAGTGCAGTGCACCGCATCTTTCGCACACGATTGGACATTTAAAATCGTAGTAACGTAATGGGCGAGTGTGTGGATCGCCCTGTGAACCGGGTACCGGCAAGAATTAAGGGTGGTAGGAGTGATACGTAGCGCCGGCACGAGCCGACACGTGACGGTCCCGCTTTATACAAACAGCATTATGCACGCTCGTGCTAACATAAATTACTGCGGGTTTAATATTGGACGTCGACGTTGCCCATGGCCGACCACCTCCTGGGCAAAACATGTTAAATGCGGGGAACCAGTCGCACTCCGCTCCAATGGTGTGTGCTTTCTTCGATTCTTCTCGATTTCAGGTGTCACACTCGGTATAATCCAATTACTAGACTTATCGGTTAATTTACAGAAATTGGAATCGGATGAAAATATGTTTTTCACGTTAAGTGTTCGATCAGGTTCTAACTGAAATAAAGACGTCCTTAACCGATCTCCCAAGCAGTGAAATAAGGCGAATTTTACAGACATAATTATTACTGACTATGTAATGTAGCGCTATTATCTCATACAGTAAGAGTTATTTTTTGAAGAAGAAAAACAGTAAACCATTCATCTACAGTTTATTTGTAATTTTTATATCTCACTGCAGATTTAGGTGCAGTACTTTACACCAGGTGTGTTTATATACTGCATACTGTGGTCAGGTGACTGCGTAGTCTAATCTATTTTCAACCGTATTTACTCACTTACAAAATAAAGCTACAGAATTAATGTTGTCAAGAAAAAGAAATCCGAATACAAAATTTTGAGTTTCTTCTGAAAAGTTTATTATTGTTATTACTTTTCTTATTATTGTTCATATTGTAACAAGGCTTAATATATAATACTACAAATATATAATAAATTTATACTTTCTGTCGTGTATATTATACCACACCTTTTTACAAAATAAAGTTAAATAATTTTTCTATTTACAAGATGTAGGTATTTATGCTAATATTTTGTTCAACACCAATCCGCAGTAATATACGCGCAGTACTTGATATTCCGTTAGTAACTGGCACACATTAATGCATGCATGTCCGCAATAATTCCTGCAATGAGATGTGATTTTAATTTCTTTGATTTCTGTTATATCCGTCTATTAGGTACCCCCGTTCTCATATTTTTATGGAATTAATATCATCCAACTTTCTTTAAAAACAAAAAGGAGAGACTTCCATTCATTTGAACGCTTTATCGAGCACTGTAAGGTTAACCTATTCTAATAGTCCGCAGTAATACCCACTTACCGTAACATTTTATCGGAATAAACGTAAGGAAGGATTTAATGACTGCATGGAGTAGGATACTAACAGCTGACTGGTTGAATGTAAATGAAGACAGAGCACGGCGGCCGTGTATGAATGGCGGCATTCGGGGAATGTCCTCGGTTAAATTTCACAATAAGCCCTTTCACGGCTCCTGAACACGGAGGCCGCTTGTAAGAGACTTTGGGGAGCCTTACGGGACGCCCTTGGGTACCGGCCTGAGCGACTGTGAAGGCGAGAATGAACGGAAAAGAGGGAATGAAACGGGCTCGATAAGTGGACACCCCGCGGCGGGATGACGGGATGCAGACCGTTCTCGCATGAATTAAAGCCGTTCGTTTCTGAATGAATACGGATCAGACGCGTAACTCTTCTTCGAATAGGATGCCTTCAAGTGCAGTCGACACGTCGTGGCCGTGTCTTAATCTTCGGGGAAAGGAAGCGAGACCGGATGTTAATCCTTGAATCCGTGTGTAGGATCGAACGTTGTAAATTGAGATGAAACGGGATATCATGACCCGACAAAATTTCTCGATTCACACTCCCGTTAGAGGTAGGAAGAATAATAATTTATTGTATTCGAGTGTAGCTTATTGATAATTTGTTCAATAGTGATAATTCAAATTATTGCCCTTCTACTTCTTGAATTAAATTAGGTCTGGCTCTAAAATAAAAATTTTGCAATAATATTTGCAGTCTCTTGGTGAATATTATGCATTGAAATTCTACATTATATATCGACTAATCGCATTAATATTGCTGTATTGAATCGATTACGTCCGAAATCTTTAGCTTAGTTCAAGGAATCAAATGATTCAAATAATTATACCATATGTTGTGCAGATATTTGTTACTTGTGTTTCACGTAATTTTATACCATTTCAGGGGAATTTATGGTGGTCATCAACAATCGTAGTGCGACAATGGAGAAAGTGACTTACGTTCGAAATCCTTACCCTCTTCCTGACGTGGTTCGCGAAGGAGTATGGACTCGACGACCAGTTCTTGGTGATAAAGTCTCACCGCAGGACAGAGGTTGGAGCGCGAATTTAAAATCTCATGAACGCCTGTTTGCTCATCACACGTTGAACAGTATTCGAAAAGATACCAGACTTATGAGACTGCAGGTGATATATCGTACACTAACCAACATTTCCAGTCGCTATTCGAATACCTTGTTTTAAAAATTATTCGTCTCATTTCTATTATATTTGTCTTATTCGTAAATAATACTGCATAATCTCGCCGTTTACTTAATAAGTTAAAGTAATTAAAAAATTCTTTTTTTTTTTCAATTGAAATTTTATATTTTCTTACGGTAGTAACGTGTTCCGCGTCACGTGGGCCACCAATAATTGACGATTCACTTCGGAAAGAAATTTTTAATTATGAAAACTCGATCCTTCAGGTCTATTTTGAATGCAATTATTTAAAATGTAACACTGTTTTAATTATATTTTGTAATTTTACTTTTTTTAGATAATTTATTGCAATTTGTTAAAGAATAAAAAATTCCTGGTAACGCAGAATGTTTACGTAAATTAATTTATAATTAACAGGGTAGTTTATGAATCATGATTATTTATACCATTCTTTTTATCAGTATCGTTGATTGCAAAGTTTCGTTAATGTGTAATGTAATGTGCGAATGGCCAACTGAAATATAAGTTTCGAAATATCTTTCTTTTGCCTCGTAGACTTTTTGAGAATGAGATGATCCACGATCTATTTTTGAAAAACTTAATACTGTACTATAGCATCTAAATAAAAATTAGGTAATTTACCCACGAAAGATGAAAGTTGTGATTTAATTATGTGTTATATAGGAAATTAATAGGGTACGTGGAACGTGAAAAATATTCTTCTATAATTGTCATTACGGACCGAGTGTTTTTAACAGTATTCATTTAGTTTTGCAGTTCTCCATGGTCAAATTGTTCATTTTGCACAAATTACGTAAAAACTATGTTCAATTCAGTGTCATGGTTTTTAGGTACCAAACGATGCTCTCGACTTAGCGCTTTCAACCGTCTACGTCCACAGTGAAGACACTTTGGTACCTAAAGTTTACGTCCCAATGCAAGCTGAATCATTAGGGAAGAAAACATGGCGTGTTTTGAGAAACAAAATCGAGGTAAACGTTTATAAAGATATTATAATCATAAGAAACTAGCAATCATAAATAGTAAATCATTCTGAAAAACAGGGTTAAGCGTAATAAAATGTACTTCTTAATTAAAAAATGGTCACATTGCATCGAAATTTCTTTTAGGTTTCTGCATAAATTCAATCCATCAGTTTTTCCAACAGATAAAAAGAAAAAGTCTTTTAGACCCCGAGAAATAGACCACATACATAATATTTTAACCCTTAACTACAAACAACTCGTCTCGAAGATGAATGCATCGACAACGACTGCATCGTAACACTTTTAATAACCAACTAAACGTTATTTTTCGTTAAAAAATTTGAATAATTCATTAATACATTTTCTCCACTAGGTTTGATTATGATAGTCAAACAAAAATTCAGACCTCCCCTGAGAGTCCTGAGACGAATCGTTTGTAGATAAAGATTAAAACCATAAAATTCAATTCAAATTCAATTGACAGGCATATTGTAGCACAAAATATAAACCCTGTTTTACAACATTAGATTTCAATCGAATGCGTTTTGGAGAGGGTCAGAATTCTTTCAGCAACCCGATAATAATGTATTTTTCGTAAATTAATTTAGATACATAAGGCATCAAGAATTTCTGCAGAAGACGAACAAGATGATCCAGTGTCGTCGCTGTTAGCCCACTGTTATCGTGGCCCATTACCAGAGCGGAGAGTTCATCCGAGCAACGTGAAATTAAATATCACCGGGCCGCACTCGGTTCAATCGAATCCCGGATACAGCCGCAAAATTGACGGAACTTTTTACAGTATTTAAACACAAATCTCTACGGTGTTTGAAATGAAAACTCGACCGGCAAAGCTAAACCAACAATCGTATTTGAGGAAATTGAATCGCCGATTATCATTGCTACCGGCGTTCATCGCTTTTATCTGTTTATAAATACTCAATATGGAATATATCTATTAATAAATCTATGGTTTTACGTGTACTTAACGTGTCGCTTTAGCAGTCATCTTTTAGCATTTTAGCAGTTAGCTTTTATGTTTGTAATAAATAAGTGTACGTAAATAGGTGACTGCGTAACTTGAAATTAAGATTCATATAATTATATTTGTATTACTTATATATTAGAGGGTTTGCTAAAATATACATATGTACTGTCTTGAATTTGTGTAAATCAAAATCTTTCATTTACTGATACAAATTTTTATTTTTGGAGTTCATTGTTTTTATATAGTTGTAAACAAACATTCGAGGGAATAATAATGAGTAATACAGAATTACTTACATACTATTAAATACGATGAAGCGGTATTATATTAATGGCGATCATGTATGTATACAATGTTCTATACTCTATGAATTACGACAATCATCTATTTATGAGTCTGACCAAAAAGGTACATTCAAATTTCATTTCGGTCGACATGGAGTGTTCTTTTCTATTTCGACAAATGTTTCGTTATTTTTCGTTTCATTCATAGCCTCTTTTCTTTTTCTTCTAATGCAAGCTTTTTAGGCGTGCTTGTGAATATAATTAAACGTTTCTTTCTTTTGGTTTGTTGATATTTAGGCGTAGGTACATTAACTATTTGTTTTAATGGAATTGTTTTAATGGAACTGATTTATTTTGATCATGAATTGTTTCGTTGAATTCGACGTCCGTACTTACCCCATACACAATGTCCGAAAATACCCTAAATGATCTTGAAATTTTACTATTAAATAATAGTAAGTAGATATAGACATAAACTCATTAAAAACTATTACGTTATCATCCTTATGGTATACACTGATATTAAATAAATTTATATATTAGTTGCCACTATTTAACTATACGTGACACCATAATAACTGTAGCACAAAAATTATAAGAAAGAAGTTGAAAATATTTTATGATACTTACCTCTGTAAACATGCGTGACTTTCTGTTGAGACTGCTTGTTCGACATTAAGAATAATAACATCGATCGCCAAGGAATGTATTCATACAAGGAGAGGAGGGAAACAAACATCACTGTGTCTGGAATTACCTGATGTCCGTATTTCCCACATTGTCCCTTACTTTCTTTGTTGGAAAAATGGATAACAGCGATTAGTAGGGAAAATTGGTCATCAAGTCGTATTTACTAATTTCATTTCAGTGAAACATATTTTACAAATAGTTCTAAATAGAGAAGATTAAAACCAGACGTTGCACCCAGTAAAAATTTATATATTATTATACCGAATACTCTTACTAATAACTTCAACTCCATAACATAATCATCAAATCCCACAAAATTCCACCAAACGTTTCAAAAATCCTCTCCCGCAACCTCAAGGCATAGACATAGAAATACATATAGACTGCGCATCAGGCTGGGCCGACGTCTTAACTTTAAAAAGAGACGGGTTACTTTCGGAGGATTTCTATCTCTTTCTAACGTAGCTGAGTCAACTATTAAAAACGCAAAACTTCAAAGTCTCACTCCCACTACTTAGATTTAAAAAGAGATGCAAACTCCTCCGAAAGCTATCTGCCTCTTTCTACTCTTGGGACGCCCGTTTCAGAAAGAGTCTATATTTCTGTGTCTGCCTTAAAGAACCAATAACCTTTGCACGCCATTAAAAACTCCTTAAGTTTATCATCTCGTGCAAACAACTGACCAATCCCATTTGCGTGTACTACGGTTCGATTGTCTCACATCAGTGTCGCGGTCGTGTCGACAAATTCGTTCGATAGACATCGCGATATCATGATGCATCCCCAACGGAATCTCTGCGACGATCTCGTCCAGCTTCGCCCTTTCGGGGCCACGTGGAATCGTTGGTTCGGGAGCGTGAGTCAGTGCAAGAGGACGTTCTCACTGGCGGGCAGCCGAAGGGACAGAATGTCCCATTACCCGGGGTAATCCTTGTTTGTAATAAACCAGTACCCCGCTGCCAGAAGGGGGGGGGGATGGAAGCCACCCTCGCCGCATAACGTCGCGGAGGTGGAGCGATCTCCGCACGCATATGCTCCTCATGGAATATCATTTATGTTTCACCCCGTGCAGACGTCTATCTTGGGCCCCCCCGTTTGACCTGCCCGGACCCCTCACCCGGGTGTGCACCCTCTTTCGGCAGACATATACACGTACACCTCGATCCTTATACATACGCCTAATCCGGCCATGATTGCCGCGGCCGCCTCGTCACGAAAACTCCTCTTCTCGGCTCGTGCCCCAGCACTCACCCTTTTTCGCTGTCCCTTATCTTTTTAGGGGTCTTCGAAGGTGAACCGTAGGGTGGAGACACAACCCCCCTTAGGTTATTGTTTCGGTCTCCTCGCGCGGGAAACCGTGCGCGAGCCTTTGCTTGACGATTTGGTACCCAGTCGCTCTGTATATTTATAGTTATAAATTGTACTTACTGCTACCCATAGACATAGAAATACAGGGTGTCAGAAAATAACTTTGACTCCCGGAAATGAGGGATTCCTGGGATAATTTGAAATAACTTTTTCCTTGGCGAAAATGTTATCCGAGGTTTTGGTAACGAGATATTAACGAAGAACCACGACCAATCAGAACGCGAGTTTACCGGCCTAGTTTCCGCGGTAGAGTTAACGAAATCGTAATCTAGTATATCTAATGATATAGACGGCGTAAGAAAAGTGTTGTAGGTTCCTGAAGTGGGTCACTCGTGAGACGATTTGGATCAAGCTTTTCCTTAGCAAAAATGTTATTCGAGGCTTTGTTAACGAGATATTAACGGAAAACCCCCACCAATCGGCCGGCAGACTCGCGGGATTAGTCGGAGTTTTTCGTTAATATTGTTAATTACCTATCAAAGTATCCAAAGTGTATGTGAAATTGTGGTTAGTTGACCTTTAACTCTGAGACAATTGTATAATTACGAATATGTGCAATATAAAAAATACATAGAAAATATTGAAAAATTTAGCAGCGTAAGGGTGTTAGTTATAAAATTAAAAAATGTGTGTGTTTTTTACAGTGTAAACGTATCATTCGAAATTTATAAATAGCAGGTATTTCGATATCATTACAGATAAGAAAGTCAAAATTAAGGAGAAAATAAATATGGATGTACTTAGTACAATAATATTTCTGTTAAATAAATCTTTTTTAATTATACTGATCAATACTTTAATATTTAGTAGCGGTATATAAAAAGGTAGCTTTTCAGTAAAAATTATTCACTTGACACTAATATGTTAGAAGCGTTGTATTATAAACCTGAAGTTAACAAAAAAGGGAGAGGATTGGAAAATAATATATCTCAAGGTATTTATGCTATTTTCAATTATATTACGCGGATATTTATCATCGAGGGGGAGCATCATTTGCGTCGTTAAGTAAGCGTCAATCCTGACAAGGAATCGCATAATTCTTTCGTGAATTACACCACGTCGAATGACTATCGACGTGGATACTTTTTCTTTCTCGGTTGGGGTGCACAGAAAGTGCTGGGAATAAGGGTAGAGCGATCTCAGACCGTCGTGGGTAACGAGCGAGGTAACCAGCCAATTACTTGGCTGAACGGTTTTATTTGTATTTAATTCTTATTTAATTTACTTTTTACGGTCTCCTTCGTCGGGGATCCGTTAACGAAATAGAAGATGTCTACGTCATTGGAAATTCACGAGTCGTAACTCGATGCATCGGGTATAATTAATTTCAGAAAATGAATTGAAAGAAAAAATAAAATACATCTATTTCATTTTCTTTTCTACAACATTCTACCATCGTTTCTATGAAACTTGGGAATTAGTAGAATGTTGCAAACATTTCACGGAAATTCATCCACTATTTCGTAAATGAATTAAATATTCACTTGTATTTTAACAACTAACATTGATTATTTCATAAAAAGCAAAATTAGAAAAAAATTCATTTCATCTAATAAGATAATTTTATTCTTTCATTTAACAAATAGAACTGTGAGTTTTCCATAAACAACGCACAGTCTACAGTGGGTGATCTAATTATTATGAAGGACACAGTACGAAAAGTGTTTGTGTAAATATAAAATCATAATATCAAGGTTTTTATACTGGATAATTTTTAAATAACAATTATCCACTAACAATATTAATAAATAATTAAACTTAACTTATGTAATTATAAAAAATACAGTTAAAATTCATGAAATCGTAGATTTCTGCAGGAGGCTCTAATAACTTGATCATCATATAATACAATAGGTATGAATATCTGGACCCCAGAGCCAGAGTGTATTAAGTCACCCTTTTCAAACTTTAGAGGAGAGCAAATCAAAAGCGCAGAAACCTTGTAACTTTGGAACCTTTCGGTAAGAATTGAGTAAGAAACAATCACTACTTTCGAACTATTGAATGGATTTAAGACAAGTCTCTATACGTAGAAATAGTGAACTTTGCATTAATTCTTCTATCTGATAGACTTTACACTGATTTAAAAACATGAACTTAATATAATTTTCAGACTTAGTGAAATATTTGATACAGGAAACACGTAAAATGTTATTCTTTTTAAAACCGGACTTAATACACTCTGGCTCTGGGGTCCAGATATATGTGTTTAATTTACTTCTCTTTAATCTAACATTAAAATCAACTTTTAATTGGTATTGTAAAAACTTTTGAGATATCAATTAATAAATTTTAAATTCTTCAAGTTCGTCGAACCAAAGTTATGTATTGCAATAACTGTGCACGTGTGTGTACAATTTTGAAGAATGAAACGTAATGGAAGGAATGATCGATTTGCTATCTTTTCGATTCCTGCCGCGCATACGTTTACTCGGAAGGAAATTCCGCGTAAAAGTCGCGGCAAAGTCTCATTGATCCC